TTTTCAGTTATGTATAAATTGTACTTGTGGCTTAGTTTATGTGAATTCAGGTAAATTTATACCTTGATTTATTAGGGCCTACCCCCAAAATTGATTGACGTGCTGAAGTAAAGAAAATTCGGGTTATGATGGAATAATATTCGCTGTAGGAAAGTGAGCAAAATTAGTAGTTAACTGAGAATTGGCCAAAACAATAGTAGTTAACTGATATTTGGCCGAAAAATTAGCAGTTAACTGAGAATAGCACCCTTATAATTGTTTAAACAATGAAAATAAGATAAATATGGAACTCTAAAAATTGAACATTGAGGTTTGAATATTGAATATTGTCGTTTGAATATTGACAGTTTAAATATTGAATACTAAAAACAAAATATTCCGCTTCCACCCCTGATATTGATCTGGATAAACGGGATTAGTATCCTTGTTAAAACCAAGTTTGTTTGCCAGATCAGTTATTTTACGCCAGCACTCGTACTGGAAAGAGAGCTTCGTTTCGAATCCGCTTTACAAAGGTAAGTCTCGTCTAAGATTGTTTCTCTGACAGTTCTTGTGCTTTATTTAGGTACTTAATCCAATAAAATGTTATTCATTTGTCTTACAGGGATCAAAATGGGTTTCAGAGTGATTATTCTACTGGTTTGTCTGTTTGTTACTCTGACTGCAGCCAGGAAATTCAGTCTAAATTCTTTCCGCGGCGGTTCAGAGGTATGTCTTCTTCATCCAGAAACGTTTAAGTAATATTTGTATTGTGAAATACACGCTACAAAGCAGGCACAGAGTTAGTTTCACATATCTAGAAAGTCGATTCTATCATTGCATACTGAGAACGTACGCTGAAATGGCATGAGTGCGCGATGAATTAATATGTAATTAAACAGAAGAGCGCGCCACATTCTTGTGCGATTATTATAATTGAAAAAGTATGATAAAAAACATATGATAAACGCGTCGTGAATCAAAGTGAAGAGCGCACCAGTGATTTTTTTACTTTATTTTTCACGCCCTTTACGACTGGAAAACTGGAGTTCGAGCGAAATGGTATGGGGCGTGATTTCCTAGATCCAGCATAATTACGGGAATTATTAAGCCCGTTTTCTATCAAAATAGAGCGCACCATTTTTTCGCGGTGAGGGTAAAGGCGGAATGAGTTTGCGGAATGGCATGTAGCATGGCTTATGGAATGACATAATTATGCGGTATTTAATATATGCAGAATGACTCAAATAAATAAATTAAGCTGAAAATTGCGCCCTTTTTCTTAGCGCCGATCAATTCACAAGCAACCGCTTTTTCAACGTTGCGGGCTCGACTACGATAACAATGAAAAGCCAGAAAGGAGCCCTTAATTTGTCACGGTCGATAAGCTTTTTTGGACAGCCACAAAGATTCCACTTGCCTTTATTACTTAAAAGTCGGGCTGGATGACAGCACCGATACCACATCGCGAAAGTTGGCCATTAGAGAAAAGATGCTTTGGAAGGTCAGGCTCCCTTCTGCTTTACTTTTTTTCTGCAAAAGACATTTGATATTTACCATTATTTGCATTTAAAACCGCCTGAGAAGTATTTCTTTTCCATACAGTGGGTCGCGTGATCCTGATATAATATAACTGAGAGATCGAACATATCTTGTATTTTGTTTCCTTGGCTGCGTGGTGAAGTTTCAGGCACGCGAAGCTAACAGCCGGCGAAGAAGCGAGAGCTCGAATCCTGTCCTGGCAGAGCTCGAATCCTATCTTCTTTTTCACTTTCTTTCTTTTTTTATTTTATTTTCTTCCTTTTCCTTCCTACTTTTAGTATTTTTTTTCACGATCAAATATGCACATACTTACACAAACAAGGTGTGGGGGGGGGGGAAGGGGGTGCGAAGAGACGAGGAAGGGCCGAAAGGAGACAGAGAGCAGTTCGCTTCACTCGATTTGTGGATTACGGATTAATGTTTGACTCGAGGCTTTCATTTAGTCTCAAATATGATCTGATTCGTTCACCGTATTAAAATTCCCCAGAATTATAGCTAGCCCGACTTCATGTTCAGCGAGCATTCTTTACCCTCTAGCTTATTTCTTTATTTCGTTTCGGACTAACAAGTCTGCCTCGTTCCCAGGGTCCTCTCTCTTCCTCCTTTCCGTTTTACCTCGTCCACCGTTACAATGATTTTCTATGTAATGAGGAGGGTAAAACCTCAATAGAAGACTCGACATGTTTTGGTACCTTCACTGCGCTTCACTGGAAAAGAGACGTGAGTAAAGAACTGTTTCAGTTTATTTTGGAAACAAGTTATCAATCGATATCAGGTATTGGTGCATCAGCTGTAATAAACGGGCCGGCAAAGCGGTTGCTCCTTCAAACTGGCGCCAAAAAACCGCGGCAGAGACGCGCGCATGACCCTCACCCTCACCGACTTTTTCGCGCCCATTCCAACTGCAAGAGAACTTACCGAAAGTATATTATCTACTCGTTTTATTTTCTTGCCAGAAATTGCCGCTACTTTCATCGTATTCACCTTCATCTAGAGACAGTTTAATTATGCTAAGTGATCGCTCTTCGGTCAAATTATTTTTGAATTTATTTTACACATAGATCGATTTTCATTTTTACATCACACGAGTGATGTAAACAGCGCAATGGACCAATCAGAACTCTCTTGTTTATCTCTTGTTTGATATTTTTGCGCATAGTGCACATCAGTTCCAACTGGAAAACTGGAGACCAAATGGGTGATAGCCCAATCATTGGTTGAGGATTAGCTCTTGCAACTCTGTATAACTTACACAAACAAGTGCACCTCTTTCTGGCAAAAGCGCTTTTATCCTGACTGGAATCGAAGACTGTCAGTCTTTGACTTTTAAAGTCTGACTTCGGTAACCGACAATCTTTTATGATTATTTGACTACAGGAACAACAGCGCTATGACGCAATAACAAAATCAGCGCTCAAACTTCAAAATTTCACTGCCTAGATCTAGTAAATGTCCAGTTAAAACAAAATAGTCAGGGAGATATAAAGATTACAAAGAATGGTTGTATGATTAAACACCACTTCAGTTCAAAAAATACAGTTCGTTAATTCCCTACATTGCTCAGTTTGTCATTACCGACTTTTTTTCTTCTTAATTTTTCACTCCACAGTTTTGCATAAGCATTTATTTTTATTGATAAATCGAGATAAACCGATGGTCACAGCTGAGCCTTCTGTACCAAGTTCACGGCTATTAGGCCTGGGTTCGAAACTGTATCCTAGCAACATGCGGCGCATGCTCAACAAAGATCTTACTTGTTTCAGGTAGAGTCTTTCTCGAGTACGCCAAAATCAAATAAGCAAAAGAAAGGCTCTACTGTCAGGGAACGAGACGAAGTGACGGTAAAAAAGCATAAAAGAATGAGGACAATATCCAGCCAATCTTGACACTTGACAGGACAAGCTTGGTCAGCGAAGGATTTATTAGACGGCCAAAAATAAAACTTTCTTCGTGCAGGACCAAAGAGGGTAATCCCGAGCGGGTAAGATGTGCGGGCCCATCTTGCTATCTTGCTTACTCGAGATTCCTTTCATCTTACCCCACCGAGGATTTAGACATAAAATCTGTCCGGCAAACAATTAACGAAAGAATTATATTCATCAGTGCATGCATAAATTACGCTTTTCCGAAAACTTATCGTGTCAGGCGGCATGTGTTACGAAGGTACTACAGCACTGAACTGCAGAGGATAAGAAACTTATAAATTCATAAAAAGGACTTTCACCTAATATCTGTCTCTTGTTTCAGCTGGAGTTGTTGAGAATGACGGAATTTGTGGAGCTGATACTACATGCCTTCACATTGACAGCCATTATGGATCGGCGGCAGGTTGCTGCTGGAACACTTGTGAAGGCCAACAATATTACAACACCCACTTCAGCAGTTACGATTATAAATGTTCAAGCGGCAAAATATGCTGTGGGTATATGTCGTTTGGAAAATAAAAAGGACTTGAGGTAAATACCCTTGGGGCACATAACTCTGCTTCTGCACTGAAACCCGGACTGAAACACCATGCAGTAAATAAACCAAATTGTGTTTGATAAGAAAGCCGCCCTTATACTCTTGTTTTTCATTATTTGTATCTCAGGCTTTGTTCACGCACGGTACATTTTCGACCGGTCGAAAATTCGTACGAAAATATGAACGCGAAAATCGAGGTCAAATTTTTGACCGGTGTGGTCGAAAAGTATGAATACTATGACCGGCTAATTTTTGCATGATGCGTGGTTACTCAGCTGGAAAAAAGAGAGGAAGATTGCAAACAAATATTGCGAACATGGATTTATGAGTCGTGTTAATACTTGCTTTGTTTGAAAATATTACGATTTAACAGTTGCGTGTGAACAGAGCAAAAATATTGGACGGTTCCGAGTGAACAAAGTGTCCAGTCAAATTGTTCAACAGATGGAAAATTTGACCGTCACCGCGTTAACCTACAGTCTCAGAGTTTCTTTTTTTACTGATATTTTTCCGCTCAAAGAAATTCAAACAATAAGCAATATAACTGATAATTTGAATTAAGTTGCAAAGAAACAAAATGGTAATTTGTTTGATGGTACTTAAGTATATGTTAAAGGAAGACTCAAAAAACGTTTTGGTTTTAATGGAATCTGAGCTTACTCGTATCATTCACTGCTGAAAAAGTTGCCTCGTCCGAAAGTTTAGTCTCCCTTTCAGTGGTAGCCAAGTCGCCACGTTGATAAAATATAATTCAAAATGTTATCTTTTTTGTCTTTTTCAATAGCAATGATGAAGGGCCTCGTGGAAGAAATACGTTGCTGTAAAATGGAGCACTGGGCATTTGTGTGTTAATCTTAGCACTGACGAAATTTTAATTAAACACCATGTTATAAAAATGCAATTGTTTTCTTCCCTTTAATTGTATGATGTTTTAAGTGCAGCGCCCCAGCACTTGTTTAGTTTTCGCCCGTGAGCATCGAAGTACTACCCACCAATACGAGAGGAATCATATCCTCCCGACACGCATAAGTCGCGAAAACATCTTTTCCCTGCCGATCCTTGAGCAAAATTCAAGAGACGAATTTTCTGCCCCCTTCTAAGCTCCTTTATGTCCGGGAAATCTCGCAGACCGTTATCAAAATTTTTTGTTGAAGATGATTGATTGATGGCTAACGTCACAAGGTGATGGTGGAACTATAGCTCGTTCTAGAAAGGTCAATAATCAATACTGACGCCATTTGAAATATTAGTCCCTACAATTTAGTCCTTAAATTTCGAAAGCCTGGATCTGTTTTAAGCTTTCAAAAGTGTTTCTTTGTTCGTTAGATGTCTACCTCAAAGTACGAGAGGCAAACTGAGAAGCAAATTCTCTATGATGCATTGTCAGCAGATTACTAAGGAGTCCCCAAATCTCAACATTATTTGACATCATATAAACGTTATTACTATTCATTCAAAATGTCTCGCTGTTTCTGATTAGTTCCAATCCCCCGCTCATTGATCATAACCAACAGGCGCTGACCAAATTTGGATTGATTGGAAATGGAATTGCTTGGGCAATAGAAAGTAAAAGACATTACGTCACGTTGCAAGGGTAATACGTTTCTGGATCTCAACAAACGGTGGTCCTGTAAATTTGGCAGGAAAAAACACACGAAAAAATTGACATGTATGACTTTTCTGTGCATGATTGCAATTAGGAACAAAACGGTAGACGATACTTTTCTTCAATTGTTCGTCTATGCAACTGGCCGTCTCTCTCAAGAACGATTGTTGAGATCCAGAAATTTTGCTACCATGGTAACATGACGTCATACTTCTCCTCTCAGTGTAGAACATCCATTAACAAGGACCATAGAAGATGTTCTTTCTCCAACCATTTGTGAAACCATAGTTTGAAACTGAAAATATATATCATAAATGCTGAGATATGTAAACTGTGGATTATCAGTTGAGTCTATCAGACTATCAAGTTCTCGGTTTGTAATCAAATGATGTTATGGTAACCAAACAACAGCGAAGCCCCCAAAAGCGACCATGTCACCCAAAATTTGAAAAGTTAGTGGTCGCTAACTGGAGGTTGTCGTCTATGAGAATGGTCCCGATACCGTATCCACTTTTAATTACTTTTTTTTTAAAGAGACTTTAATTTATTGCATGCAATAGGCCATTTTACTACTACTGCCAGAATCCCTCCTTACTCTGCTTTCCTTTGCAGTACTTCACCAAGAGAAAATTTTGGTGTTGTGGTTGCTCACGGGAGGTGGTAGACTGCTTACAGTCCCCCTTATCTCTTAAAATCCGTTCAGTTCTCATCTCAGCCAGCACGATTGCAAACCATGACGTTATCTTACAATAAGGGATTGGAACGAGACGAGAAAGACGCCCTCGTTTATCGTTGCTCGCGTTCTTGGGTTTTTTTCGCGGTAACTTTGCAAAGAAAAAAAAGAGACTGCTCGTAGTCTGGGGAGGTAGTCGCTTACGAGAGGTGGTCGCACATGGAGGTTCGCCTGGCCAATTACGGTAGATTTACCGCTGAACAAAAGCGCTGATGAAGAACCTTGTACAGCTGGATTTAATGGAAGAAACACGTTGCAGTTAAGTGGAGCACCTAGCACTTGGGATTTTTTAACTGCTTGACTACCAATTTTCAACCTTAAAGAAATACACTTAGACGTGACTTTCTCGAAATATCAGTATTACATGCAAACTAGCTTTGTAGATTAAAATTTGATATGCAGTTAGGTTTTTGAAGATTGGAGCATCCCTAGCAACGCAACATTGCTATAGAAAACTTTCGTTGTTTGGTATTTGCCAAAAGAAAAGAACTCTTCAGTAAAATCGCTCAAAAGTATGAACACTGCATGCATGTATAGGTAGCACTTCGGCCAAGTTTGGTTGATTTCTAAGAGAGCATTTTGGAATAAAGCGCGTCTGTACGTAAATTAACCGTTAGTTAAAATAACGACTCAGCAAAATGCTGACAACTGTTTCCCCACTGCATTATAGAAGGTTACCTGTTTTAGCTTTCAACCTTTGACATTGTAAAGAAATCGGTTTATTTGATCTATTGCTTTTTACTTATAATTACTGCACTATTTTTAGCATTTCTGCAAAAATGAATAGGATCGTTTACTCTATTTGTTTATTTTAACATCTGTAGATGATTTTTCGTTAAAATTACTGGAGTTTTCTATAGGTTTCTAGGAGACTATATTTCATATATTTTATATTTAAATATTATATATACAACCTCTTTGTGTGATGACGCACGTTGACGCGCGATGTGAATTCGGAGAAAAGTATAATCTCGAACCATCGAAAGATCATTAACAGACCAATTTTTTGTGTTCCATTGAAGATAATTACATTCACAATGTGAAAGGGGGAAACAAAGAACTTTTCACTTGAAAATTTAACATAGCAACTCCATATGTTTTATGGGAATGCAATTTCCTGAGAACGAAAAGTGATATTTCAACTTATCTTTTCTGTCTGGTTAGAGCGACACGTAACACCCAGTCATCAAATGACGGATAATATGACTCGCAAAATTTGCGATTCAGCTTAGAAAATGGCCTAAATCCATTTGTTTTCCTAGGTTCGAGGTAAGTTGTACGTTCTTATCAAGGGTTGCTCTTCAGTAGTAGTTCAGTAGTGTAATTGGAAAAAAAAAAACAAATTGAAAAGTTGCAAAAAGTCCCGTTTCCATTTCCAACCACCTATTTGTAACAGTTTCTACATTCTGGAAGCCCTCGACAAATCAAATTAAGTCTCTAGCAGCCCCCAAAACGCTAGTCTGCTACACAGCCGTTTTTAGGGTCGTCACGCAATGCTCCTCCCCACAAACGGCTGCTGCGGCTCACGTATTGTCAAATTTCTCATACATTATTGGCTTGTTCGTTAGACCACAAACACAAAGGGAAAGGAATGTAGTTCGGTTTTCAGCAGCCGTTTGTGGGGAGGAGCGTTGCGTGACGACACTAAAAACGGCTGTGTAGCAGACTACCAAAACGCAGAACTTTATTGATTATCAACACAAGTATTAAAAATATTGTATCTTTATACAAGACTAAGGATATATAATGGCATGAAAACGTGAAAATTTGGCTAAAAAACTCGATTTGTTATTGTTAGCATCCCATGAGATCTTTTAAATTTCATTTTGGTGACGATTAATTCTTTATTATTCATTCAAAATATTTCTTCGTTTCTGATTGGCTCAAATCTTACGGCTTATCCTTCATAACTGTCTGTCTGTCTGTCATAACTGTTTAGGTTTACGCTTTTTTTTTCTCGTATATTCTTGCATTAATTTTTCTCACTTTTTCTTTTTTGTTTTTTTTTCGTTTTTGTACTTGCACGTTCCTCAGCCTTATCTATGTTTATCCTATTTAATGATCATTTTCGATGTTGTAAAGAAATTATATGTGCTTAGTTAAATTGTCTTGCCGATGCCAGTGTTAATTTATTAATTAAGTCATGTATTTTTAAAGGTGGTCTTATTCATAAGCCTCATTGGCTTCCTTGCCTCATCTTTTTTAATTTCATGGAGATATTTAACTTAAATGGCAAAATGATAATAAAATAAAATAAAAAATAGCGTTGACCAAATTTGGAAGACGATGGTGATATCCTATAAAATTACGCCCATAGTAAACCCCAGTACAGGCCATCGCTAGACTGAAAGAGGACAGCATCCGAGAAGCCCGCGTGTTTACGTTACAGCTGGCAAGAAAAAATGGCGAACATTTTCACACGTTTTACGAAGACGAAACAGCGGAACTACTGCCTAAAAACATAGTAAGAACAGCAAGAATAATACTCAACGCATGACAACTGCTATTGGAACAATATCAGTCTTCTAGATTAAATATCCATCCCTTTTTATTAAAAACTGAATCATTGGATAGTGCAATGCTAGAGCTCTGATTGGCTAAGCCATCACTTAATATAAGCCATTATACCATGCTCTACAAACCTATGGTGACTGCATGAGTCCGCTCAAAATTAAAAACAAGCTGAAAATCAGTTGTTTTTACAACTAAAGTCGGAAAATTCTCGATACTTTGTGGGCGTTTTTATTCCACAATTATTCCACTCGCGCTTGTTGGATATGAGATGAACATAGCCAACTAGGGGCTACGCGCCTCGTTGGCTGTCTCGTGGAATAATTGTTAAATATACTGCGAATTTGCCAAGAAACAGACGCCTGAAGGCAGAAATTAATTTAACATCGATCGAGATAAGCGTGGCTTAGCTTGTTTATAAACAAGGAATTATTTTCATTGAAAAATAAAACAATTATTGGATTCGGCTTTTGCTGATGATCTGAAGAATTACTAAGATCTCGCCTGGAAAGTGTTAAACGCCTCGGTCTTGGTAATGCATTCAGATCATATGAAAGCAGAGTCCAATAATTGATGAATATCCTCCAAAATAAATTGTTAAAAGTTTCCACGTAAAACATCACGCACCGAGCTTTTCTTTCTGGTGTCTCTTTCATTCGGATTGGTTGATTCCCCAATTTCCCCCGTTTATTTTCTCGCTTCCTTTAATACAACTTTCTTCACAAATTGGCTTTAATATAATAAAGCTCCTGCCTAATTTTTATCTTTTATTTCTTCACATCGAATTTTAATATCCACCCCTTCATCAGTAAAACCAGTCAGGTAATCATATTAAAACGTTTCTAAATAGATACACATCGAAAAATTCCGTGCTGGGTGCGTGAAAGTTTGAGTCGTTTATGCATTATCCAAGTGCGTGGGTGTAGTTTTGTGGATGTTTAGGCTAGGAGTAAATCACTTTAAATATCACTTTTAGAAGACCTCCATCATGGAAAAGATCGCAATTTTGCAATTTTACGCAAACAGAGATGGTCGGCAATTGCGTTCTCTTATTTGGATTTAACACTTCAATTGCTGTTCAATACTGAGTTTTTGAAGTAAAATTTTCCTTGTAATTGCTACAGAATTAAACGAAAAGGTGTTATTTTCAATCATGCATTCTAAATCATATACCTTCCGGCGACGTATTAATTTGCCATCGACTTCAAAGAATAAATGTTATATTCGTTAACACTGCTTCCAACATCCCAACCAATCACACGCAAATACAAAACTTTTAACATAGTAAACACGACCCTAAACAACCAAAGATGAAAAAATGGCTAATACAAACTTTACTTGTGTTCTTGTTTATTCTTTTAAAGTTCAAAAGTGATTTGTTCCTCCAAGAAAAATGAAAAGCTAAAAACCGTTTTAAGACCAAGCCAGCATTGAATATGAGAGTTTAATATTCGTGTTTAGTCTTGATATTTAATGTGGCTATTATAATTTTTTTCTATTTTAATTTTAGGCTCAAATAACTATTGTCTGAATGGGACGACACCATTAAGAGCCTAATGCCAAAGATGGAACCTATAGTTTAATAGGTTAAAAATTTTCATTTTGAAGAGGCAAGAATTTTTCTCATATAGGTAAATCTGTACTGTTGGTTTCGTTCTTCAGTGATGTTAGCCTACTTTGGGACCGAAGATTTAACCCGCGAGTCGGTGATAATCACTAGAATAGAGCACTTGCTATTCATTAATGGAAATGTCATTGATGAATGCGGAGACAATTTTTAGTTTCTAGGGCGGTTTTTCCCCCAGCTTCTTTGATTGTCAATATTTTGGTTTTGATGGTAATGTGTTTGCTTGTTTTTTTTTTTCGTGTAAACATTTTAGAAGCAGAATTTATTTAGCAAAAACGTGAAAAGAAAAGAAAATACACGGAATCTTGTGTTTATTTGTTACTCGCATGTAATTATCATTTTTCATATCCGTTTAGAAGATAACTTCATCAAACAGAATTGATGTCCTTTGAATGTTTAAACTACCACAGTTCAAACTTTGAATTTGTCGATTTTTGTGAATTTTCATTCCTCATCGTGTGTATGAAATGCCCAACTTTCCATTTTGAAACTTTTCCCTTCAAGATCGGTTTCTTTTTGCAGGTCTTTTTCTAAAAATATAATTTGTTCGAATAGCCGAATATGGCAATTTTTGGGGAACACTAAGGCATCACGGGGATTTTTCAGTTCAACAAAAGTTGATTCTCATATATTGTTTTCATATTGAAAAAGGTTCACTTTCTATCGCCACAGTTGTACGTGTATTAGAATAATTTTAGCTGTAATCCAATTCTCGGACATCTTGACGCGAGGGTGTGAAAATGTACCCTGCTGAATAATTTGTAAGTCGCTCCAGAATAAACATTCGTAAAGATGGGATTACACCTCTAATAGACACTCAGAGACAGCTTTGAAGGTATGTTATCAAAACATATACGTAAAAGGTCTTAAACTTTCACGTTCTTTTGATTAGGTTATCTCTGTTTTCCTTAGTAGCTGCTAATCAGCAGTTTTTACTTCTCCACATGGGATTTTGGCGTCTGTAAATAACCTGGGACTTTTGAGATTATGACGAAGGCAGCTGCGTAATTAGATAAATGTTGACAACAAAACTTTGGTTTACAATCTATCTCCCTTTCAGGAGTTCAAGCATCATATAGATCTCGTGGGCTACCACCAAGCTATGTTGTACATTGAAAACTTAAAAAATCTAAAGAAATTTTTTTGACCTTAGGGACGGGAACTTGAAAGAATTTTGCGTGGGTTGAATCGTATTGTTTCATGCGAGTGTTAATTAAAATGCGAATGGATTAATCAAGAAGTGAATATAATGTAGGTTTGATCCATTGTTCATCAACTCATGAGACATTCTGAGGACGAATATTCAGGAAATATTGCTTGCGCTGCACATGAAACGCCTAAGTTGTCAAGCCTATCTTAATCGGTTCTTTTCTATTTTTCAGTTTGGATTTGTATTTCGGACGGAAACTTCGGGATTCAATTTCACCTGAATGCAACTTAGTCTGATTTCCTCCGCAGCACATCTCAACTTCAGCCATCAAACGAAAGGTTAATACTCCTGTTTGTCTGGCCCCCTGTGCCAATATTCCAGCTTGCAACCCTGGCGAATCCAATTACTCCAATCATGGGTGACAACCTGGCTCTGATAATCAGCTTCATATTTCTTTCAAGTTTAGTCTTTGTGACAAACTTTATAGTATGTTTGCTGGTTTACTTGCGCAAAAGTATGAGGACTTATACCAATGGTTTCGTCGTTTCGCTGGCATTTAGCGACATGTTGATCGGTAGCATATTGATTCCTGCCTCGCTTCTGATTCCTGATTCTAAGATAATGGGTTATTTGGTTTCAATAACTCTTCTGTCTGGGGTCTTCAACTTAGCAGCAGTGACTTTCGATCGTTACATTTCCGTGTTAAAAGCTTTGCACTACGAAAGTCTTATGAGAAAAAACTTTTTAAAGATGATTATCTCTACATGGGCCGCAGCGTTAGTGATATCTCTTGTCCCCCTCATCTGGGACACAGACGGGGATAAGTTAGTACACAAAGTTTTTGTCCTTACGGTGCTCACTCTGTGCGTTTTGGTACCGTACATGTTTATTTTCACAGGCTACTTAAAAATATTTCAACAAGTCAAAAGAAGTGTCGCGCGCGAACGAGCAATAACAGCTTCTGTCAGGAAAAATTTGCTACGTCAGAAGAACAAGATTTCTTCAGAAGCAAAGCTAGCTCAGGTCTTCATCATAGTCGCTGTAATGTTTGTTCTAAGCTGGTTGCCAATACAGTTTATGACAATCGCATACGAAATTGGGCGTCGCGACCTCATTCCTAATCACCTAAGTACTGTCTCGCTCTTTACGGTCGCTCTGGGATCTCTTGTTAATCCAATTGTGTATTCTTTTCTCAAGCCAGATTTTAGAAAATGTATTCAACATGTTTTTCGTCATCGTAGGAGACGTTTCGGTAGAAATGGAACTCCGGCTGGGAGTCTGAAGTCAACGTCTAGCACAAAGGCACGATCAACAACGTCCGCGAAAAACGCGGCTGACACGCGTGTGTGATTGTGTGAGGGAAAACTTGTCAAAGCAATTTAAGATCACGTAAAACTTTTAAGTGACGAAATAGTTAATATTTGCTCAAGGGTTATCTAAATGTATCCCGCTATATTTCTTGGTGAATCTTTTTAAATACAGGCCGAAATATCACGATGAAGAAAAGGTTATAGCCCCAGGAGTGCGACACGACTTTTTATGCACCTGTTTACATGCTTATCGCATCTTCCACCTTCTTAATAATTCATACTTTGCAAAATCGCCGCGAGTGCTATGATTAAAACCTCCTCTATTTCATTTGAACGGAGCGAAGGAAAAAATACAGTGACTTTAAAAGCCTTTTCAAGCTAAAATACCTTGAAATCAGAAATAAATGAAGTTTTACAACCGGTGATCAGTTTCCCCATTGCTGATTATCTTTAATCCTAAATAGGAAGCAAAGAAATGAGTTTATTTTTTTTCCGCCTTCTCTCATTAGGAGTCTTTATTGTTTGTTCAATATGTTGGTCTTGAAAGGCTCGCTTGCTTGAAAAGAAAATGATTTTTAGTTTTCTCAAACAATCACCGATGACAATTTGTTTTAAATGAGACGACAGTCGGCCGTTTTGTTTCGTCTGTCGTTTCCTCTCACGATCAGTTAATTGAAATTATAATTAAACTCATGATAAACACGAAACAGAATAAATGAAGCCTAGTACTGCGGTTACAAGTATATTTGCAACAACAAACATCTTGTCCTTTTCTCCTAATTTCATTTTGTTTGAAAATTATCCGTGGAATTATTTTTTAAAGACGCCGTTTTCATTGATTTGAGACAAAAAAAAGTTTCCACTTTTGATTTGTATTTAAGTCCGACTTACGCAAATTTCGTGTTTCCTTTCCGATAATGCACAGAAAGCGGAAATATCTGCAGCATTGCGCTTGTTAAGATATATGAAACTTAGCTTGCGAGCAAACACTCCGATTTGGAGCTCTTGTATGGGAAACTATTTCGTTTGGCCATATTGCGGGCAAGAAATATTTTTCAGAATGTTAATGAAATATATACAGCTGTGATGGATCTGAGTTAATTGAGTCTCGAAGTCTATAGCATTTTGTACAAGAGACTATAAAGAGGTCATCCCCCATATACACCCTATTCCATAGGTAATTCGTCTCGAGTTATTTTTAGAATCGGGATAAAGTTACCTCGCGCGAGGCGTGGATGTTTCGTGGAGGTTTCGCATGACCAAACGCCGTGCAAAACATGTCGGGCGAGAGGCAATGAAAGCGTAAAAAGATCGAGAGCATTCCTGAATATTGAAGCGAAATGAGTCGGCGCTCACCTGGGAAAAAGGAATCGCTGGACTCTTTGACAACCCGTGAAATCAGTTTAACTCGAAGTTGTCGTAACCTCAGTGCTTTAATAAAATGAGGAATTTCGTCGGTCTATTGAAACCGGTCGTTTGTACAATTTAGGGAGTTTAAGATCTAACGACGCGGACGACAACAAGAACGTCAAAAAAACAATAGGTTTAATTAGCAAAACAACAACTTCGCACGTGCAACACACTTTTTTGTTCATTTATTTCACGTTTTTGCACGACTACGACGTGAAAATGCCTAATTTCGCGTTTTATGGAGGACGTAAATAAGCAACGACGAAATTTTATTTCTCTTTCTTAGCTTGAATATGGTCCCTTGAAATTCAGCTTTAGGAGGGTTCGCCTACAATTGACAAAGTAAGTGGGTAGGAATAATCGCTATAAAGACTGAAAAAAATAAACATCAAACCAGAAATTGCTCTTTTCAAACTGTAAATTATAAATGTTCCTGAAAGAATATTCAGTGTGTTAAGGATTTCCCTGCTCTACTGTTAGCTCTATACAAGAGAGGAAGGGCGATTCTTTTTTAATTTCGGTTTCGCTGACACAGCTTTCGCAGAAATTTCGCTGTAGTCGTTTTCGTCGACAAAAGGAATAGCAAAATCGCTCTCCGCGTCTTCCCCCGTTTTGTTCTGCGTCATTTCGTGAAGGACGCGTGGCTCTCAGCGTGGGTCATCCACGCGGAACACATTCGCGCTATGTGATTGGCTGTTGTCTAATCCCCCTTGAGATCTGTGGTGTTAAAAATAACTCGAGACGAATTACCTATGGAATAGGGTGTATATGGGGGATGCCCTCTCTGTCCCCTTTATAGTCTCTTTATTTTGTATCAATGCCAGGGACACAAACTTCACATTGTACCTGCTGAAGCTATATTGCGTCATTCATATTGCCATCTTTTATACCAGTTTAGTCCTTCGCAGCCCTTTCTGTAAATGGAACTGATTTGTAAATGATAAACGCGATTCCAGGACAAAATTTACCAGTCCTGAATTTTCGTTACAGTTTACCCAAACCGTGAACCGCCGATTGAGCTCGACTGGTATGGTATAAAACAAGCTGTGTGTCGGTGAGTTTCCACTCAGATGTACCCGCGAGCACTGCAAACTCAAGAGGGTTCTTGTTATGCATATAAATATGTGTTATTGACCAAGTGGAGGTCAAGATGGCTGGATATTGGCTAAGGCTCATTTTTGCAAAACGCAAGAACGGATCGACGAGGCCAATATTCAGCCATCTTGACTGGACAAGCTTGGTCAATAAAGGTCTTATAAGAATGGCCAAAAAGAGAACTTTTTCTTGGGGGACCAACGCGGGAAACCCCGAGCCCATCTTGCCCGGCCCGCGTAGTCAATCAGAAAGCAAGAATCGCTTCACCTTGCCCGCTCGCGAATTCACTCATACAACAAAAATAAAATACAATATTGTAATCTTTAACTTGATTAAAGTTAAAGTTAAAAGTCAGCTCTTCATGAATAAATAAAACATGATGAAACGCCATAGATGAATGCTGCCAAAATAAAAACGTTGAGTCCTGGTTCAACCTCAGGTCAAAATTTAGACAATAGACATTCTTATAAAAGAAAAAGCGTACCAAGGTAACTCTAAAGAAATCTGCTAAAACATCCATGAGGGAAGGCCAAATGCCGTCCCCCTCCCTCACCCCCACTGGAAGTGAGGTCTCGCGGACACAATGAATAAACATAAAAGCACAAATTATTTATTCACTTCGTTTGTTTTGTGTCAGTGCATTCAGGCATTTCCCGAATTTCAACATGAAGAGAGAAGACTAAGTTTTAACAAAAAATATTACTTCAGTCTCGCGGCCCAAGGTACGTGTAAGCGAAAGGCCTGAAACGCATTTTACTTTTCTAAATGAAGGAATCTTATTTCAGTGGTTCACTCAGTTGTTGTTGTGTTTTTTATCAGCAAGGCAGAATACTTTGCCTTACGTTATGATAATTGGGCTGATTCCAACCGCTCTTTCACTTTCTCAGTCGTTTGTTTAGATAACGCACCAAAGAAAAATGTTTCTCTGCAAAAAAACCGAAATTAAAAGATACAGAGGTTTCATTATGGCAGCCTATGTATGGCTCTTGCTAAATTGAAGAGACACCCTGTAGGTCATATTTCCCAGCGTTGTCGTATGTGGATCACGTGAGGTTTAAAGGTCTACTGGATTTTTTTATTTATACCTCTCTCGTGACATTCCTCGTTCGCTGTTCCAGCAGAGGTACTAGCAATGGCTTCGTCTGCGCTTACTTTAATAGTTCATCTCGTTGTTTTCATTACTTGTGGAGCAACACATGACAATAAACCAGAGCAGATTCACATTGCCTTCACGGGGATTGCTAGCGAGCGAAATGTGAACTATGTGACACCTTCGCCAGATGAAAATCCCGAGACTGTGGTGATGTATGGTACGCGCTCGGACAAGTTAGAAAAGAAAGCAGTCGGAGATTCTTTCGTATTTAAAGGTCCAGGGCATAGATTCAGAATTCACAATGTGAAGGTATGAAAAAAATTACTGAATTCAACAAAATTGAATCGACTGCTTGTTTTAATTTACATGGCAATTATGTAATCGTATGCTTCTTTATTCAGCCGACGGTACTTCCAAAAATGGTTCTGGTGTTACTACTACTTTAAAATTGATTTTAAACACCTGCTTAATAAAACGCTTGATATTGCTGATAACTATTCACAGTGAAGAAGATTTGAAACTGATAACCTACATCAAACAAAATTTCTTTCAGTTTCGACTTTAGGGTTAAAGAGAACTTCCGGCCAACTTCAGCTGGCCTTTTGGCCCCATTTCCTATTTCAATAATTTCCCTAACAATCAGTCCATTTTGAAAAACAAGTCACCTGGAGTGGAGCAACAAGGACCAACAACAATGCCTACCAACTCTTAAGTGCTTTGGCATGCTATAGCCTGTGAGCAAGCTCTCCGGGGCGCCTTGGGGACGGTGCATGAGGGGAGGGAGAGCTCCCTGGAGAGCCCTGGCGCGAAGGGAAGTGAGCACAAAAAAACAGTGGGGGGGGGGGGGGGCGCCACTCTTCTATCTGAACGCCTGGAAAAGGCTACTGAAGAGCTTGCTAGCAGACTATCGGGACGGCATGCTTGCAAATGCACCAAAACCCGGAACAACGGAACACAACTCCAGAGCGCTCCGGAAAATCCCCGAGAAACCTGGTAATACAGGGGTTATCTAGAAATTCTAATTTCGTTTTTACTCCGCTGACTTGATTAACTTTCTGTTTTAACCATTATGATAATATAAGGTAATCATATCTCTACACCCTAAGAAGACCGAAGTATTCTTTCATGCAATGTTTTATCGTTGTTTTGTCTACTCACAAAAGTTGACAGGTCTTGCACCTAACACGCTCTATTACTACCAAGTTGGTGTGCCAGACAATGGAACGAGTGAAGTGATGTCTTTTTCGACCAAAGAGGGCAACCTAGTTTTCGCGGTGAGTTTTCAACCAATTAAACTTCTCTCTAAAAGGCATGTTCATTCCCACCATTGGAGCCGCCAGGGCTGGGAAATATGTCACGTTATCAAAGTAATCTAACAGTGTAAGCTTTCCTAACGGACACTTACGTCCGCCGCCTTCACAAAATCCCGTTTTTCTCGACTC